CCTCTCTCCCCACTCTTCCGAGAGGGCGGCATGAGCACCATGAGGGCGGCACGGTCGTTGTTTGCCTAGAGCAATAGTTAGGCTTGCGCTGCTCCTGCCTACACCATCCATCCTGCTCCAAGCTGGGATCGAACCACTGACCTTCCACATGGGAGTCGGTTGCTCTAACAAGGAGGCTAAATACTATGACCTCTGACACTAGAGCACCTTTTAACGGAGTGACGTTTACCTGCACAGCACTTCACTAGCTGGCCTCTGTTACACTCACCCCGCCTAAACCTCACTCCTATCCGGGTCACGGCACCAATGTAACCTCGCTAATCATACACCACCCAATCTGCTTCGAGCTGAGATCGAACCGGCACCTTTCCACATGGGAGTCGGTTGCTCTAACAAGGAGGCTAAATACTATGACCTCTGTCGCTAGACCACCCTTTAGAGAAGTGACGTTTACCTGCACAGCACTTCACTAGCTGGCCTCTGTTACACATCCCTCTAAACCTCACTGCCATCCGGGTCACGGCACCAATGTAACCTCGCTGGTCCTACACCACCCAATCTGCTCCGAGCTGGGATCGAATAGGCACCTTTCCACATGGGAGTCGATTGCTCTAACAAGGAGGCTAAAGACCATGACCTCTAGCGTCTGTTGATAGAGTACCTTTTAAGGTCAGAGGAGTGCGGTTTAACTGGCCTCTGTTACACATACCAAACTCAAAGAAATAATAATGGTCGCCATATTGATGTTGTTTCAAACCTGGCTGCTTTGAAGGGCTCTTTTGAATGAAAAATACAACTGATGGAGAATTTGGGACATCATTCTTTCAGCAGGGAAGTTCTTTGGTGTCCCGCAGTGCATTCAGTTTGGAGGGACTCATCCCTATGCACTAATCCCTACAGAGTGACTCTGAAATTTGAAATATCCAGATATCTAAACTATCCAGAGGCCTTATGTATGTCCTGATATGATAAATCCCATTATCTGCTGCAACATTAAGATGAGAGTGGAAGAATTTGGTTTAACCAACATGGATCCACTGTGCCTTTTATCCAGAGCTTAGTTTGCTGTTGCTTGTGTAATTGTCTTGTTATATTACTGTGCACAATTTGGTCCCTTTAGCACCAAGTGAGCATCATTGAAGCACAATAGTCAACCTGAGGATTGTTGCTGATTGTGTCTGTTCCTTTATGACCACAATGCGCCCTTTTTGTATTAGCTATTTCCCACGGTGCTCTTACAGACCTCAAATCATCTTGTTTCTCAGACATGACAGGTTACGTGAGGTTCCTGCCCTCAAATGTCCTCCAGATTTCCGTCTTCTGGGATGTGCTTGAACAGGAGATTAGCATCATAAACAAGCAACTGAAATCAAACCAATTGTAATGTCAACATAGACCAACATCTCTGCGGAACCATCTTGTTGAATCTATGCCATGAAGAATTAAAGTCACCATAAAATGGAAGATAAGATTTCATTTTTCTCCGCTATCGTGATGTTATCGAATGTTATCGAAAGCTCAAACCTAAAGAACGGATAGCTCCACCTTCAAGGACTGATAGCCCCGCCCAAAATGACTGATAACCCCGCCCTAAAGAACTGATAGCGCCATCCTAAATAAGTGATAGCTCTACCCTAACGGACTGATAGCTCCCCCCTAAAGCACTGATAGCCCCGCCCTAAAGCACTGATAGCCCCGCCCTAAAGGACTGATAACCCCGCCCTAATTGACTGATAACTCGCTCTAAAAAGCTGATAGGGGCACCCTAAAGAACTGATTTTACAAAACATGTCAATTAAAATTTGGGTTGCAATTTATGTTAAAGGGTGGCATGCTGGCTCAGTGGTTAGCACTATGGCCTCAGAGCAAGAAGGTTGCTGGTTGGAGTTCCGGTTTGGTCAATTGGCGTTTCTGTGTGGAGTTTGCATGTTCTCCTCATGTTAGCGTGGGTTTCCTTCAGGTGCTCCGGTTTCCCCCACAGTCCAAACAAATGCGCTAAACTAAATCGGCCATAGTGTATGAGTGTGTGTGTGTGAATGAGAGTGTATGGGTGTTTTCCAGTAGTGGGTTGCAGGTTAAAGGGCATCCGCCATGTAAAACATATGCTGGATAAGTTGGCGGTTCATATAGGCATATATATATATATATATATATATATATATATATATATATATATATATATATATATATATATATATATATATATATATCATATTCAGAAGATTTCAGATCATACTTTTAATAGAAAAATAGGGACTATAATGAGAAGCTTGAGGCCTTATGGTGACTCTGATTGTTCAAATGTATAATTGAGCAGCAATGAGATTAAGTTGTGAGCAGAACTTTTTGTAGAGCTCGACACAGAAACCCTCTGGCCCTGGGGCCTCGTTGTTCTGCATATAGTTTAATTAAATCTCTTTTCCTGAGATCGTGGAGATTCTTCTGGGTTATGCCTTTTGTCTTGTCAATGACATTACTATTACAATTACTGTTATCAATTACAACTGATATCACTTTAAAGGAGCAGTTTGTAAGATTGATAGGTATTGTGGCGCAAGTTCAAAATAATTTTGACCCAGTCCCTGCTTTGACCAGTCGATGCACACACAGGTTGCCAGATTGATAACAAAGATGGAAGCGAGGAGTTGCTATTACTTTAAAGGTACAGTATGTAAAATTGAGCTAGGTATTGTGGTCCAAATTTCACTTTTTTTTGACCCAGTCCCTGCTTTGACCACTCAATGCACACACAGGTTGCCCGATTGATGTTTAAAAGAGAAGTGAGCAGTAAATATTACTTTAAAGTTGCAGTATGTGGGATTGAACTAGGTATTGCAGTCCAAATTAAAAATATCTTTGACCCGGTCCCTGCTTTGAGCACTCAACACACACATGCAGATTGCCAGATTGTCAGCATGTACAGGAGCGAGCATGCCTGAAGATGAAGGGCCCTATTATACACCCGGTCCAATGAGGCACAAGATGTGTTTGTCACGATTTGTTGCTATTTTCAGACCAGGGCAAGAGTAATTTTCAGGTTTAGGGTGTGCTTTAGTTCAAGGCGCCTGCAGGATTTTATTCCAAGGTACGCACAAATCCAGCACCGCCCCGCCCCCTTCCGCCAGTCATGTCAAGAAACACTGATGCTTGCTGTCAAAGGCTGCATTATTCAAGGGCATTCGTTATGACATAACTTGTTTGCTTTTTAATTTTAATATTTTGCTGAAATCTAAATGTGATAAAAGCACATCAGCACCAAGGAAAAATGAGACGCTCAAGACGTAATCATTAAAATTATGACATATTAAAAAATTAGCAAATATATGAAATAAAATTGTGATAAAATACAATTAGTGAAGCATTAATTAAATCCTTACTTTCCACTGACCGAAAATCATCCACCCGCACAGTTGAGTAGTGGACGGGCTCAAACAAAAATAAAATTTGCAGCCTATATTTTGCTTAGAAAAAATGTCTTTTTAAAAACAATTTCGTATATTGTTTGTCTCTTTGTTCAAATATTTTAATTTAATTACAACTGAATTCATTTAATCAAATAATGTGAAAGAGCAGGACAGATTACAAATTCGCATATTCACAACAGCACTGAACATCTACCCCGGTGGAACAAACTCGGTTGAAAGTGTTAGACACTTCAGAAACTCGTGAGAAGTCTGCTTATTTATGCCACTCTGTCAGATAAAATAGTTTAAAACACCTTGAATGGTAGCTGTTCCATGCAAGGAGGCCGCGCAGCAGCCGGATCTGATCTGTCTGATGAACGAGACAGGTTCCCCGGCTCAGGTGCTGATAATGAGACTGCGGTATTTCTTTCATTAATTTTAGGTCTTTTGGCAAATGTCTCAATTAAGTTTCGCTGTTTTAAAGAGCTCTTACTCAATTTAACCTTGTTTTAAAACAATACCTGAATGGTGATTTTTAGGTGCGGAAAATCCACCAGTAAAACTAAAGCCAATAGATTTCTTTACCCATCCATGCAAGTGCATACACACTTTAAAACACACACCTTTATTTGTTGTCATTCTTTCTTGCTTTATCGATATATCGTAGTGTATACTGTTTAATAATCAATTTAAATTATGTAATAAAAAAATAAAAAGCAGCATTAATTCGCGCCCTCTCATGGTAGGTACGCACAGTGCGTACAGCCGTACACCTGCAGGCGCCACTGACGCCTGTAATGCTTTTTCACCATGCACTTGAGACATTGCACTTAAATTGATAAAATAGAGCCCTAAAGGTGCAGTATGGTTGAAAGAGAAACACCTAGTGGTGGAATTAGCTAATGCGGTCCGTATTCAAAGTATTTTTTTTAACCTTCCCCTGCTTTGACCACTTGACACACATGCAGGTTGCCAGATTGTCTGCCTGAAGAACAGAGACTTGCACTGCATGCTGTTCTGCTAATGTGTACATTTGTAATATTCATATTAAAAGCCGCCTCGTGTTGATTCTTATATCTCTGCGTCTCATTTGAAAGCTGCTTCTGTCATCCAGTTGTCAGAAAACATATTCGCAATATTTTATCCGGTATTCAATTTTTGCACATTTTTGCACAGTTCTGTGTTTAATTCGTATCTTTTATGGAAACATAGCTATTGATGTATTGATGTTGTTTACAGTTTATTACCACCAATAAATGGATAAAATACAGTTGAATTTCAACTGGAGTTCACCCTGACATTATAAATGTAATACGTCAATGCTTATGACCAAGCTATAGCACTTTATAGAGCTTTAAATAAAGTGTTCTCTTATGAATCACTCCCGCAGTGATGTAGTCATGCATATTTAAGTGCACTTGGTGATTTTTCACACAAGAATTATACACAAAATCAAACTTTCATCAGAAACACAGCAAACACTGTGGTGTTTTTGAACCACACCATAGTAAAGTACTTGAATTAATCTTTTTGTCAGAGGAATGGACTTGTGATGTGTTTTCTGACTTCAACTGTATATAAATGTATATATTTCAGACCACCAGAAGCTGGACAGGGAGGCTAGGATCTGCAGATTGCTGAAACACCCCAATATTGGTAAGTTAACCAACCCCCCAAATGCACTGACGTCTATTATTGTTTTACGTTACAATTATTACATGCTTTAAGCACTGCCTTATTTGGTACACAGTCTAATTTATATAGATTTGTGTCATGATATGTGTCATGATCACCTTCGATCTAGCAGTTGCAGATCGCTGAAGGACTACAATATGCTACTGACCAGTTCCAGTTCTCTCTCTGATTGCACACACACACACACCTGGAAGCTCATCATAGATCTGCTGTATATGACTATATGAACACCTCATTCACACACACTCTTTGCTGAGTCTTGTGATCTGTAAGTGAGCATTTCTGAAGCGTTTTGGTTGTCCTGGCTTGTTTGTGATCTTTGCTTTGTTTTACTGTTTATGTTGTTGTTATCCTGACTGGAACTGGAGAGGTGCATTATGGGATTTGTAGTTCATATAGGTAGCAGATTATAGTTCACCCGCGATCTGCTGCTATTATTGTGAAACACTGCGGAACTGATCATTGTAGCAAAGAAAAGACACGTAAAAATGATCTTGTTGTTTGTTTCTCACTCTTTTCCATCCAATACACAAAATCTTCCCCAGTGCGTCTGCATGACAGCATCTCAGAGGAAGGCCACCACTACCTCATCTTTGACCTGTAAGTGTTTCCGATCAACTATACCAGATGTACAGTTAGAATTATTCGCCCTCCTGTATATTTTTCCCCAATTTCTGTTTAATGGAGAGATTTTGTTCAACACATTTATAAACATACTAGTTGAATAACTCATTTCTTATAACTGATTTATTTGCTCTTTGTCATGATGACAGCACATAATATTAGACTAGATATTCTTCAAGACACTAGTATTCATTTGAAGGCTTAACTAGGTTATTTAGGTTAAAGTTAGGCAAGTTAGGGTAATTAGGCATGTCCTTCTAGACAATTGAAATACAATATTGCTTAAAGGGGCTAATAATACTGACCATAAAATGGTTTCAATAAAAAATACTTTTATTAAAGCCAAAATAAAACAAATAAGACTTTCTCCAGAAGAAAAAAATGGATAAAGGCGAATCATTTTGACTTCAACTGTATATAAAAAAAAAAACGATTGTACAAACCGTACAGCAGATGTTGAACTAAGGGTGTTTCTTCTACTTCTATTTTTCAAATGAAAACATTTTTCAAAAGATTGATTAAACCTGGTAATATTTGATGTGCTATGGTGAACCTTCATTCATTAATTATAAATTAATCCAGAAACAGAATGTGGGTTACTTTACAGTATTTATTTTGTTTATTTATTTCAATTGTATTCTTCTCATTTTTATTTTTTTATTTATTCATGTTATTGTTTAAGTATTTATTTTTTATTGTATTTATTATTATTATTTTATTATTATTCATTTAGCTACTTGTGTATGTTTATTTGTATTGCAATATTAAGAGTACAATAGATCAATATTCAAGTGCCAGCACCAATAATAATAATAATAATAATAATAATAATAATAATAATAATAGTAATAATAATAATAATAATAATAATTATTATTATTATTATTATTATTATTATATTTTTTATCATTATTATTATTATTATTATTATCCTTATTAATATTATTATGATCATTATCATATAATAATAATGATAATAATAATAATAATAATAATAATAACTATTATTATTATTATTATTATAAATATTATTATCATTATTAGTAGTATTATAAATATTATTATTATCATTATTCATATTATTATCATTATTATTATAATTATTACTTTTGTTATTATTATCATCATTATTATGATTATTATTATTATCACTTTTATTATAAGTAGTAAATTTATTATCATTATTATTATTATCCTTAATAATATTATTATCATCATTATTATTATCATTAAAATTATTATATTATTATTTCTAATGTTATTACAATTATTATTATTAATATTATTATCATTATTATTATAAATATTATTATTATTGTTATTACTATCATTATTATCATTATAATATTATTATTATAAATATTATTATCATTATTATTATTATTATCATTATTATAATTATTAGTATCATTATCATTATTATTATTATCATTATCATTATTATCATTATGATTATTATTATTATTACTATCATTATTATCATTATAAATATTATTATTGTTATTATTACCATCATCATTGTCATGAATAATAATAATAATAATAATAATAATAATAATTATCATAGTAATAATAATAATAATAATAATAATAATAATATTAATATTAATAATAAATGTACTTTATTTTAATTTATTTAATTATTATTTTTAATTGCAGTGTTGATCCCTAGATCAATGTTAGTTAACAATGTTATGCCAATACATATTTAGGAGTCAGCGCCACCTAGTCGGCAAAAACGGTAACAGAACATTTTGAAATCTCTTATATTTTACAACTAACAACGCATTTGATCTTTTATGTAGAGTACAATGCTAAGATAAACATCTTCCATGTAAAATGTAAAAGAAATATGTTTTTAATTATGTACAAGTTTCTGTAGTTAAAGAAACACCCAAGAATCAACCAATTCATTAACTATTAATGCATCCACTATTATTACTTGCTGATTGCTGCTGTCTGGTGCAGAGTAACGGGTGGTGAGCTGTTTGAAGACATCGTCGCCAGGGAATATTACAGTGAAGCAGATGCCAGGTGGGTGGACAATCAGCATTACACGAATGGTCTGTCTGTATAAAAGCATTACAAAATAATCTCACATCTGAATAGTGCATGTAAAGCATGTTAAAGTGCAAAGTTAAACCTCATTGACTCGACAATAATTAGACATTTTGAAGATTTTGCATGAAGCAAATGTTGCACATCAAGCCAAAACTGCTATAAATGTATTTTTAAAATCCAAATTTTATAATCCAGTTGCATAATATTTACACTGTATAAAATGTCCAGATTTTCATAACATGGTACTTTAATTTTTCACAGTAAATTATATTTCTTTACACAATGTAACTGTAAAGAACTCACAGCAATGGTGTTGTATTCATAATTTTTATTGTGAAATTAATTGCATGATTACAGCAAATAATTTAACTATCATTTGCTTATTAGTTATAGGAATTCAAACTCTTTTTATTTTATTCAGCATAGACATTAATACAAATGAACTTTAATGCCAGTTTTGCCACTTGTTTGATATTTAGAAACAACAGAATGTTATTGCAGCTCCAAAAACAATGTGGTTACATCTTTAAAAATAACTTGAAAGAAAATCATCCTGTTCTGAAACGACATGAATGTCGCAGTAAATTTTCATTTTTGAGTGCACTGCATTTATTTAGTTTTATAAGGCTAACTTGGAAATACTAAATACTTTTCATGAACAGAGCTTTGTGCTCAGCCAAAAACATAAGAATGTGAAACAAAAGTAATTGATTCATAAAACCAAACACTGTTAAATGATTTCAAAGTCAGGGTAAATGTCAGAATGAATGGCCGAGGAAAGCCTGCTTCACAGTAAAATATAGGCAATTCTACAAGATTATACTGTGAAATCACAATAATGGACTTTACTCTCTACTGTGAAGTTACAACATATGACTGTAATTTCACTGTAATTGAATGTAACAAAATCACAGTAAATTACTGTGAACTAGCTCGCGGTAATTTACTGTTAATGTATGTATAGTATTTTACTGTGAAATAGGGCAATTATTAACCAGTAATTTACTATGAATTTAAGGTACGTGTTTTTTTATCTATAATGCAGAAAGTAGATTTATAATTTGAACAGTAAATAAAGTAAAATAAACATAATATTATTATTACTATTGTTATTATTACTATTAATATTACTACTGTTATTATTATCATTATTATTATTAATAGTACATTCATTCATCTATTTATTTATAGTATTATTACTATTATTATTATTATTAATTCATCTATTTATTTTATTATTATTATTGTTGTTATTGTTATTATTATTATTATTTATTAATTTACCTATTTATTTAATTATTATTATTAATATTATTTTTTTACTATTATTATTATTATTATTGTTATTATTTATTATTTTATGTATTTGTTTAATTATTGTTATTACTATTATTAATAATTAATTAATTCATTCATCTATTTTTTTATTTTATTATAATTATCACTATTATTATTATTAATTCATCAATTTCTTTTATTATTAGTATAATTATTAATTATTATTATTACTATTATTATTATTATTATTATTAATTAATCAATTCATTTATTAATCTATTTTATTATTATTATTATTATTAATGATAATAATTATTATTAATTAATCTATTTATTTTATTATTATTATTATTATTATTACTATTAATATTATTATTAATATTATTAATTCATTCATCTATTTATTTAATTATTATTATTATTACTATTATTATTATTATTATTTATTAATTCATCTATTTATTTAATTACTACTATTACTACTATTATTATTAATTAACTAATTAATTAAATAATTCATCTATTTTTATTTTTATCATTATCACTATTATTATTATTAGTAGTATTAATTAATCTATTTTATTATTATTATTATTATTTATTTTATCTATTTATTTAATTGTTATTATTATTACTATTATTATTATTAATCTATTTCTTTTATTATTATTATTATTAATATTATTATTATTATTATTGATTATTTTAATTGTATTATTATTATATAGCAGATTTTGCATAAAACAAATGTTGCACATCTAGCCAAACTGCTATGTTTCATTTTTATATCCATATTTCTACAGTAAACAAAAAATAATAATAATTTGACAGGTTTAAATGCACATCTGTTGTGTGTTATTCATGTAAAGTGCAGCAAGTATATTATAACGAATTTAGTTTTTCTTTTTGTCTGTTTCCTTTCCCCCCTAAAGTCACTGCATTCAGCAGATTTTGGAGGCTGTACTTCATTGCCATCAGATGGGTGTTGTGCACAGAGACTTAAAGGTAATTCAGCACTAAAATATGTCTTTAAGCATGTTTTTAGAGCACAATTGTGATTAAATGATAAAATACAACACCAGTATTTACATTTACATTTAGTCATTTAGCAGACGCTTTTATCCAAAGCGACTTACAAATGAGGACAAGGAAGCAATTTACACAACTAAGAGCAACAATGAATAAGTGCTGTAGGCAAGTTTCAGGTCTGTAAAGTCTAAGAAGGAAAGTATTAGTAATTTTTTAGTAATTTAGTAATTTTTATTATTAATTTTATAATTAATTAGTATTAAATATATCATTAAATATTATTGATTTCACAAAATAAATATACATTTATTAAAGAGTAAATATGCATAAAGCATGCACATCTATTTACATGCTTTTTAAGGGGGCGTTTATAAAGAGAATTCAGCAGGTCTCGACACCGAGCCTTGGAGAACTCTTCAAGCTTTGTAAGATACTTGGCCACTGAACCAGGGAAGTTTATATTGAGTTTATATAAAGTGTTGAAGATGTTCAGGTTATATGGACTTGATTATACAAATAATATATGTTTACATTTAAATGCACCTAATGTAAACGAGCTATTGTTTTTCCACACAAACGTTTTTGCCCCATTTAAAAGTGCATGTTATTACAGTACATTATAATGAAAATCTGAACACTGAAGGAGCTTTAATTATGACTTTTGCAGTACATGGATCTTTTCTCTTTTCTGTTCCTTTCATTTTCATGTTTTTAGCCAGAAAACCTGCTTCTGGCTTCGAAATCCAAAGGCGCAGCTGTGAAGTTGGCAGATTTTGGCCTCGCCATTGAGGTTGAGGGGGAACAACAGGCCTGGTTTGGTAATGACTCTTGTATTTTACTGTACCACCAGACATTGGCATTATCTTTGAATAAATTTTAATATTTGTATAATTATGCCTTTTTAATGACTTTTTAATGAGTTTCTGTATTAACATCTGCATTTATTTTAATGCCAGCATTGATTTTACAGTTATAGAAGTACAATAAAATGCATTTGTGCTTTATTTCATATAAGATCTTTCAAAGCGATGCCATCAGATGGTGTTTTGTGAGCTTAAGCCCTGCTCCTCTGGGTGTTTATTTGACGTCAGATTTTCTTGGCTTTAGCCACACTTTGGTTTAGATTTTTCTTTAGGTCTAAATTCGAGACCTTGTTATACTGCATGAGTTATTTTCTCTGTTATTTTCTCTGCAAGTCCATTGAACTTGAAGTTGAAGTCAGAACTATTAGCCCTCATGTTTACCCCCCCCCCCCCAATTTCTGTTTAACGGAGAGCAGATTTCTTCAGAACATTTTTAATCATAATTCAATAACTCATCTCTAATAACTGATTTATTTTATCTTTGACATGATGACAGTAAATAATATTTGACTAGATATTCTTCAAGACACAAGCTTAAAGTGACGTTTAAAGGCTTAACTAGGTTAATTAGGTTGACCAGGTTAGGGTAATTAGGCAAGTCATTGTATAACAATGGTTTGTTCTGTAGACTATCGTAAAAAATATAGCTTAAAGGGGCTACAAATATTGACCTTAAAATGGTGTTTAAAAAAAACTGCTTTTATTCTAGCCGAAATAAAACAAATCAGACTTTCTTAAAATTCAAAGGGGGGGCTAATAATTCTGCTTTCAACTGTATATTATGTTAAACTAACTTAAAACAGCTTGCGTCACTTATAAAATTAAGTTAGAACATGATTAAGTTAAATAAAGTACAATGACCTAAAAGCATATGTTGTCATGAATAATCATATCATTTTAACAGTGTAGTGAGCTTTTCTCAATGAATAATATTTTTCAGAATGTACTTTCTTTTGCCATATGGTTTTTCGTTGCTTTTTTACTGCCTGATTACAGTTTACAAAATCAGTTTTTAGCTTGGTTTTAAAGAATGTAGTTCATTTATTTATTCATTCATTCATTCATTTATTTTCTTGTCGGCTTAGTCTCTTTATTAATCCGAGGTCGCCACATTAAAGAACATATCTGTCATATCAGCAATGGAAGTCTATGGAACAGTTGCTAGGGTGCAGTATCTGGTTGTTAGGGTGTGGGTAGAAAGTTAAAAGGCCATCAGTGATTGGCTGCTGGCTAGACTAAGTTAAATGAGCTCAGCCATTAGTCTGTTGGGCAGTCTGATGCAGAGTTATGAGCTCACAGAGTTTGATCCAATGTAAAATCAATGACAATCTTTTGAATGGAAGTCTATGGGACAGTTTCTAGGGTCCAAAAAGTGGTTGCTATGGCGTGGCCAGAAAGTTAAAAGCTCATCAGTTATTGGCAGTTAGGTAGTCTGACTTAAATGAGCCCAGCTAGAAGTTTGTGTGACAGTCTGACGCAGAGTTATGAGGTCATAAAGTTTGGTCCAATGTTAAGTCTATGGGATTTTTCTGACGGTCCCGGGACGTTTTTCGGAAAACCGAAAGTCGGATCAGTCGGAAAAGATATAGCACACCGAGTCAGACCAGTTTGGAGGTCTGGTGTGAGTTTGGTGGTCATAGCTCGGAAGCTCTAGGAGGAGATAGTGTTTGATTTTTAGTCTCAGAGGAAAAATAGGATTTCAGTAGTCTGGCTTGCTTTCACAAGCCAGCATAATTCAACAAATGGACCATCAAAATAAAGTGCGACCCAATTCCTTGCTGTTTTTCGGTCTCTCAAGATTTATTATTTAAGTATGCAAGAAAAACATTTAACCTTTACTTTGGTTTTGTCTTTAGTTCTCATTTTCTCAAATAATAGTTATGATATGGTATGTATATTTCTCTTCTGACATCAGGCTTTGCCGGCACTCCTGGATACCTGTCCCCTGAAGTCCTCCGGAAGGATCCCTATGGGAAGGCTGTAGACCTGTGGGCGTGTGGTCAGTGTCTATTCCTTTTCCAACACCATATTTACAGTACTGTTTGTCACATGATGTGTATTATGTATGTTAAAGGGGACCTATTATGCCCCTTTTTACAAGATGTACAATAAGTCTCTGATGTCCCTAGTGTGTGTATATGAAGTTTAAGCTTAAAATACCACACAAATAATGTATTATATCTCTCTGAAACTGAACCCTTTTAGGCTTTGATCTAAATTGTGGCATTTAGGCGACTGTCGCTTTAGATTTAAACGAGATTGTTTAAGTAGAGGGCGGAGCTACGAACGCATATTTGCTAGAATAGCAGCAGATTCAAAACAGGATTAACAGGAAGACAGACTTAGAGTTGCCCCTCCCCCTTTTTAAATTGTGTTTAACGATTCTTCTTTATTGAGTCTAATCGTATAATCACAACTCTGTTGCTATTCTGAGCCGTTTTTGAGCTAAAGCGGTCAGATTCATGACAGCCAAAGCCTATAACAGTAATTCTGCTTCTAAATTACTGTTTGTTTGCTTTAAAATATAGCTTTCTGCATAATTCAGATGGGTCTGATACTTTTTTGGTAGATGCCTACTGGTGGTTTACACTATGGAAAATTCCATTCACCATAGTTTTAGCTCTACCTTCCTCCAACACACCTGCCTGGAGGTCTACAGGGTGGGCCATTTATATGAATACACCTTAATAAAATGGGAGTGGTTGGTGATATTAGCGTCCTGTTTGCGGCACATTAGTATACGTAAAGGGGCAAACTTTTCAAGATGGGTGGTGACCATGGTGGCCATTTTGAAGTCGGCCATCTTGGATCCAACTTTTGTTTTTTCAATAGGAAGAGGGTCATGTGACACATCAAACTTTTTGGGAATTTCACAAGAAAAACAATGGTGTGCTTGGTTTTAGTGTAACTCAGGGAACATGCCAGCTTCAGTGCATAAAGGAAACACATCATCATCAAGCAATTCCAAATATCCAGTGGCCTTGAGGTTTCCACTGATGAAGAACGGCCCTAATCTCTTTGTTGTCTATGGCATGAAGATACAAGATGTGCAGCACCTGAAACTATGGATACTGGAAGCCCGTACTGGCATTTCTCCTGCGGTGTTGCTATCAGTGTGTGAAGAGCGGGAGAAGAGGGTTGCATTGACAATCCAACACAATGGGCAGCACATTGAACACATTTTGTAAGTGGTCAGAAACTTGGAAATAACTCATGAAAGAATAAAGCTACGTTAAAACCAAGCACACCATTGCTTTCCTTGTGAAATTCCCAATAAGTTTGATGTGTCACATGACCCTCTTCCTATTGAAAAAACAAAAGTTGGATCCAAGATGGCCGACTTCAAAATGGCCACCACCAATCTTGAAAAGTTTGCCCCCTCACATATACTAATGTGCCACAAACAGGACGCTAATATTACCAACCACTCCAATTTTATTAAGGTGTGTCTATATAAATGGCCCACTCTGTAGTATACCTAGAAAGAGCTTGATTAGCTGGTTTAGGTGTGCTTAATTGGAATTGGAACTAAAATATGCAGGACACCGGCCCTCCAGGACCGAATTTGGACACCTCTGTACTAAAGTAAATCCTATTTGCACCGTTTCCCTATATAGTCATTCATTCATTTTCCTTCAGCTTACCCAGGTGAAAAAAAATATATATATAATTAAATGCAATTAAAATGCAAATACATTATAGTACATTGTTATTTTTTGTGTTAAATAAAAGTTTGATGGTTTTACACTATAAGTCTACTAATTATAAGTATGTTTATACTTCAGTAGGACAGTAGAAAGTATACTAAATACCAGTAATACTTAAATAAATTTTTAGTGTACTACAATAAAGTACACGACAGAAAAAACATCTAAAGGAGTTTTATTAGTGTGTTTTTCAAAAGTGTGCTTTAAATGCTTTAAACATTAGTGGATTTTTAGTACACTGTTTGCATACTAATCCTAAGTTTAAAATAAGTTAATATATGAAAAATCTATTAGTAATGTATTGTAGTAGAAGAACATTTTCCCAAAAGTAGTACTTAAGTACACGTAATGTAAATGCAATATTATCACTAACACTTAAATTGATTTTGAGTGTGGTAATTTTAAGTTTACATTAAATTAAAAATCTATTAGTAATGTATAGTAGAAGTACGTTTTCCCAAAAGTTGTACTTAAGTACACATAATGTGAATGCACTATTAACACTTAAATTGATTTTGGGTGTGGTAATCTTACCAAAACATTATTGTCTTGAAGTATGTGTGTGTTGTAGGTAAAGGAATGATCAGGAAAGCCAAGAATGGCCATGCAGAAGAAACATACGTTTTACATTGCATATTCTAAAATTGTTCTGGACTGTTTATCCTTCTACTTAATTGTCTTTTGTCTTACCAATTAGGTGAGGATGTCTAAACAATCTAATGACATGGGTTTGTTGACTCTGTTAGCATAAATATCACTGTATTCTGAATGTAAGGAAGGGTTATACTTTAAATTAGTCATAAATATATTTAAATGTTTAAAAGTAGGGTTCATGTGTATTTGTAGTTGTAACTATATATTTATATATATATATATATATATATATATATATATATATATATATATATATATATATATATATATATATATATATATATATATTTAAAATACAGATATAGTATGTTAAAAGCACATTTTAGTTCAATTTCATGGTGTCTCAAAATAGCACAGTTGAGTACACTTAGATGGTGTTAAGTTTATCTTAACATATACTTAATACTATCTTTTAGAATATTAATTGCAAAATTAGTGTGCGAAAATAGAGCACTTTTAGTACATTACTGAATAGTGCACTAAGTATACTTAATTAAAGTGCATTTTAGTGCACTTTTTCTTTTTGTTACCTGGGTAGTCCCTTTATTCATCAGATGTCGCCACAGTGGAATGAACCTCAAACTTATCCAGCATATGTTTTACACAGCGGATGCCCTTCCAGCTGCAACCCAGTACTGGGAAACACCCAAACACTCTGTCATTCACACACATACACTGTGGCCAATTTAGTTTCTTCAATTCACCCATAGCACATGTGTTTGGACTATGGGGGAAACCGGAGCACCCGGAGGAAACCCACGCCAACACGGGGAGAACATGCAAACTCCACACTGAAACGCTAACTAACTCAGCCGGGGCTCGAATCAGCGACCTTCTTGCTGTGAGGGAACAGTGCCCAACACTGAGCCACCATGTCACCCATCTTATATTTATAATATTTACTAACAAATAATTCTTAACTTATTTCTCAGCCTATCCATCTTAATTTCTCCTTCAGGTGTGATTCTTTACATTCTGCTGGTTGGATACCCACCCTTTTGGGATGAAGACCAACACAGACTCTATCAGCAAATTAAAGCCGGCGCCTATGATGTCAGTCTAAGCATCTGTCATGTACACACACACACACACACACACACACACACACACATATATATATAATGGTTAATGGCAGAAGCTCTGGCGTCTCTCTGATTCATACTTGGATCTCTGTATTGCTCCCACAGTTTCCTTCACCCGAGTGGGACACAGTCACTCCTGAGGCGAAAGATCTTATTAATAAGATGCTGACCATCAACCCGTCCAAACGCATCACTGCTGCGGAGGCGCTCAAACACCCATGGATATCAGTGAGTCTTTACATCTCTGCATTAAAACATACTTGCTTAAAACCTATTCACTTGCAATTACAGTGGATTAATTATACAGTCGAAGGGCTCTATTTTGACGGTCCATGCACAAAACGGAAAGCGCAGGGCGCAAACGCATTCAGGGTGTGTCATAATCCATATCTTCTAATATAAGGACGGGAAAACCCGCTTTGCGCCGTGGCGCATGGTCTAAAAGGGTTGAGTTTATTCTCTTAATGAGTTATAGGTGTGTTTTGAGAATAAACCAATCAGAGTCTCATCTCCCATTCCCTTTAAGAGCCAGCTGCATCGCGCCATAAGCGCATTCGCTATTTACATGACGTAAAGTAAGTTCACTTTCGCTTCCGTGGATAGGGAAACCTTTACGCACAGACATCATTTAGCCTATTAATAATTAATTTCATTTGTTAAGCGCAAAGATTTGTTTCAAAACTATTTCTAAATTCTTTTCTAATTTCCAGCAAACTAATAAATGAACAATAATAACGAAGTGTGCTCAAAAACCTGAGTTATATCCGAATACACATGCTGTGCCCCATATGGTCTAAAACCTGACAGGTGGACAAATCTAAGCTTGTTTTTAATAAAACAAATATAAATATGGATATAATAAATAATACTGCTAATAATAATAACATTATACAAAAGCAAATTGAATGAACTGAAAAAGCCTCCTGAGATGAAGGATTCAAGGCAGTGGTTTTTAAATTCATGTAGGCTAGAAAATAATATGTTTTGTAATATTTTAATTCTTTATATTTATATCCTATATACAGTTAAAGTCAGAATTATTAGCCCCCTTTCGATTTTTTTTTCTTCTTTTTTAAATATTTTCCAAATGATGTTGAACAGAGCAAGGACACTTTCACAGTATGTCTGATAATATTTTTTCTTCTGGAGAAAGTCTTATTTGTTTTATTTCGGCTAGAATAAAAGCAGTTTTGAATTTTTAATTATCAATTTTAGGGACAAAATTATTAGACCCTTAGAGCTATATTTTTTCTCGATAATCCACAGAACAAACCACTATTATAGAATAACTTGCCTAATTCCCCTAACCTGCCTAGTTAACTTAATTAACCTAGTTAAGCCTTTAAATGTCACTTTAAGCTGTATAGAAGTGTCTTGAAGAATATCTAGTCTAATATTATTTACTGTCATCATGGCAAAGATAAAATAAATCAGTTATTAGAGATGAGTTATTAAAATTATTATGTTTAGAAATGTGTTGAAACAATCTGCTCTCCGTTATACAGAAATTGGGGGAAAAATAAACAAGCGGTCTAATATTTTAGGGGGGCTAATAATTCTGACTTCAGCTGTATATCCTTATTATATCCTATATATATTCTTAATATTTTAATTGTTTTTTATATGTAAAGATGTTTGCGTATTGCTCTACATCTTGTGTGTATTAAGCAGCGTGTAAGCCAGGTGCAACTCTGCGCCGGACTTTAGACCGGGTTTGTTCTGGTCTAAAGAAAAAACTATTACAGTTTCTCAAAATAGCAACGCGCCAAAACACGCCGGCTTTTTTAGACCAGAGCGCCTATGGGCGCACATATGAGCGCAAATGCTTTTGCTGTTTAAACAGCGCGGCACATTGCGCCGGGTGTATGATAGGGCCCAATACTATTAGCCCACCTGTGAAATTTTAATTCTTTTTCAGATATTTCTCAAATGATGGTGAACAGATTCAGGAATTTTTCACAGTATTTACTGTAATATTTTTTCTTCTGGAGAAAGTCTGATTTGTTTTATTTTAGCCAGAATAAAAGCAGCTTTTAATTTTTTAAACCCATTTTAAGGTCAATATTATTAGCCCCCTTAAGCAATATTTCTTTTTGATTGTCTACAGAACAAACCACTGTTATACAATAACTTGCCTAATTACCCTAACGTTACCCTAATTAACCTAGTTAAGCCTTTAAATGGCACTTTAAGTTGAATATTAGTATCTTGTGAAATAACAAATAACATATAATGTTTTGTCATTGGCGAAGCAGTGGCGCAGTAAGTAGTGCTGTCACCTCATAGCAATAAGGTCACTGGGTCGCTGGTTCGAACCTCGGCTCAGTTGGCATTTCTGTGTGGAGTTTGCATGTTCTCCCTGCGTTCGCGTGGGTTTCCTTCGGGTGTTTGTATGTTTTCTTGCTAGTGAAGCGTTCAGTTTTTCCCAGCCTGATCTCACGAGAAAACGTAAGTATTTTACGTTTTGCCAGTTTAGTGGCTAATTCGTACAAATTCGTACGAGTTCAGTCGTACGAAATGGTACGATTTTAAAAAGGAGGCGTGGCACCTGACCCCACCTCTAACCCCAACCGTCATTGGGGGATAAGCAAATCGTACTAAATTGTACGAATTAGATCGTACGAATTCATACGAATTAGCCACTAAATGAAAAAGTTACGAATTGCCGTGAGATTGTGTTGGTTTTTCCACAAAGTCTGTCATGCATGTAGCAAATGCGCTATGGCGTGACGCAACTGACTCTTGTGAGATAAGACTCTGATTGGTTTATTGTCAAAACACACCTATAACTCATTTAGAGAATAAGCTCAACCCTGTAAGACCATGTGCCACGGCGCAAAGCGGATTTTTCCATCCTTAAAATAGCAAAAGTGGACTCTGACACGCCCTGAATGCTTTTGCGCCTTGCGCTCTGGACTTTGCGCCTGGACTGTCAAAACAGAGCCCAGTATGTTTATTTACTTATTTATCGGATAAACACATTTGGATTTATTTGCACTATTATTCATTAATATAAAATGCATTTATTTGCAGTATTAGCAATAAAATATTTCTCTATTAAAAACATTTCATTTTAGAAAAAATTAACATTACACTCAAAATTCAACAATTATTTTAATTAGTTTAATTAATTTAGTAAATTTTTGTTTAATTAATTTAGTTTAATTAGTAAAATTAATTATTTCAATTAGTTTAATTAATGTCCAACAGTGTGTAACACCCTGTTACAACTAACCCCTCTGTGTCGTGTTTTCTTCAAAACTGGCTTGCAGTCACTGTGTGATTTTTTTTATCTTTCAAAATGGTCTGGATAAGTTGGTGGTTCATTCCGCTGTGGCAACCCATGATTAATAAAGGGACTAACCCGAAAAAAGAAAATGAATGACTGACTGAATGAGCTCACGTTACTTGTAATGTGTTGTCCCCAACACTGGTTTCGACTGGCAGGATTGTCTAAGGGGAATATCAATGCGAAATGCTTTTATTACATAAAGATGTGCTGAAAATGGCTGCAGAATGAACATTTTCAACACAATCTCATGTTTTTTTTCCTCTTTTTGCTCTTAGCATCGCTCCACCGTCGCATCTTGCATGCATAGGCAGGAGACTGTTGAATGTTTGAAGAAGTTCAACGCTAGAAGAAAGCTTAAGGTAAGTTTATCCAAGGCTGAGAGATTTAAATGACAATTGCCGTTCAAATTCATTATAACATCCATTATACACTCACTGGCCACTTTATTAGGTACACCTTATTAGAACTGATTTGGACCCCCATTTGTCTTCAGACCTGCCTTAATCCTTCGTGGCGTAGATTCAACAAGGTGCTGGAAATATTCCTCAGAGATTTTGCTCCATATTGACATGATAGCATCACGAAATTGCTGCAGATTTGTCGGCTGCACATCCATGATGCCAATCTTCCAGTCTACGACATCCCAAAGCTGCTCTATTGGATTGAGTTCTGGTGACTGTGGAGGCCATTTGAGTACAGTGAACTCATTGTCATGTTCAAGAAACCAGTCTGAGATGATTCACACTTTATGACATGGTGTGTTATCCTGCTGGAGGTAGCCATCAGAAGATGAGGACACTGTGCTCATAAAGGGATGGACATGGTCAGCAGCAATACTCAGGTAGGCTGTGGTGTTGACACGATGCTCAATTTGTACTAATGGACCCAAAAGAAAATCTCCCCCACACCATTACACCACCAGCCTCAACCGTTGATACAAGGCAGGATGGATCCATGCTTTCATGTTGTCGATGCCAAATTCTACATGTTGATGCCAATGTCTGCATGCCTAAATGCATTGAGTTGCTGCCATGTGATTGGCTGATTAGAAATTTGTAGTTAGACAGGTGTACCTACTAAAGTATCCGGTGAGTGTATGTATCAATAGAATAACAACTCACACCTTTTATTACTGGCTTATTGCATTATTATTAAGCTACTGCATTGATTCTTTATTAGTGCTTATGAAAGATAATCTTATTTTACATCCTTAATCCTTGACAATACCTAAACCCAACTACTACATTAATTACTATTAATAAGCAGCTTATTAGTTGTTTATTGAGCTAAAAGTTGTAGTTAATGGTTTGTTAATAGTGTGAATTGCACAAAGTGTGACCAATCTTTTTAAAAACATAGAGATAGTCAGAGCTCATCCTGACTTAAATGCAGAAAACTCCTCCACAATGATAACACTGATCTGAAAGAGGTTGTGTTTTTGCTTTTAGGGTGCTATCCTCACCACCATGCTGGCCACCAGAAACTTCTCAGGTGACTCTAATACTCTCTTTCTGTTTCCGTGTGTTTCTGTTTCAATGCAACCACAGACTATGATTTACTGGACCTGACTGGATTGACAGTGTCACAGAAGTTTGTACAAATGTTATGTAATGTAATGTGTATTTATATAGCGCATTTATCATGTATGGCCAAACACCCAAAGCGCTTCACATTCATGAGGAGGATCTCTCGACACCTCCACCAGTGTGCAGCATCCCCTTGGCACCATGAACCCTTTAGTTAGGCCTGTGCAAAAAAGCTTAGTTTCTGGATTTTATATGGAGTATTGACCTTATTCTTCAATGTGGAAGTGCGCTTGTTTTTGCGATTGTTTTGGAACTTCCGATTCAGTTGTAATTAATTTTTTAAATGAATAGATCATTACCGTGTCCGCTCGGAAGAGCGGCGGCTCTGCTTGTGTTTGTTTGGTCAAATTAACAATAAATTGATCCGGAATATTAATGATTAATAATAATTCGTTATTGTTCGGTCGCGCGAGCATGATCATATACAATCATATGTTTGTTAGACCAAACTGACTCAAGCTTAAGCCGGAATATTAATAATTAAGAATAAACCGTTACTGTTGATTATTAATATTCATAAAATGAGCTAATCTCTGTTACAATGACTAGGAATAATAAACGTCAGAAAACGGTCCAACTACTTACTCTACAAACAAGTGTTTGCATGATTATACAGACAAAGTAGAATAATATAATAAGAAAATATCAGTTTGGAAAACCAAGCAGCAAACCAAGCTGTTTTTAACGTCTGAAAATGAATAGAAGTGAATGAGACCAGAAGTCTTGAGCCAGAATGATTCGAATGGCTGCGCCCACTCGTACGCGGAGAATAAGGCGTATCACAGCAAATTAAAGTGTGTGTGTCTGTGTGTGTGAGGGAGTGACCTTTGTGCACTTATCTTGATGTGGCTGAGAAAATCTAAATATGCAGCTCTCAGAACTACATGGAGTAAACAAAAACAAAGACATCAAATGTGGTTATAATGGAAGTCAATGGGGCAAAAACAGCCACCAACAGTAAATTAGGGAGAAAAACATTTAATCCAACATTGCATTAAAGCCAATGTTGTTAACAATCGTTCACATGTCCAAGACTGAGATAATTAAAAAAAAAATCCAGTCCACAATAACATTTTATATTGAAAATGCGTTATTTTGTGTGTTTTTCCACCAAATAAGTGACATCATTTGTGAATTCGGCAATTAAAGAGGTTAAATCATGTGATTTTGTATACAATTCAGCAGTTTTGATCAAGACTGAGGTTGATTAACAGATTTATGCAGAAAAAAGCAAAAAAAAAAAAAAACATGTGAATCTGATGCATTTTTACAGCAGTTTAATTCGGTGAATCTTTTTATCCCGGATATAACATAAGGGTAGTCAATCTGAACAGTGCACAAGGGTTAAAATGCTTTAGACAAATTTAAACTGCTTTTATTTTAGCCAAAACAAAACAATTAAGACTTCTTCCAGAAGAAAAAATATTATAGAAAATACTCATTCATCAATCATTTAGGAAATATTTGAAAAAGAATAAAATAAATAAAGGAGGGTGAATCATTTAGACCTGGACTCTATGTTATTTGCTTTGATCGCCATATATCAAATATCTATATCACAAACCAAACAGTCACATTCAATAACGGCTGGATAGAAAGAGAGGAAGACTTCAAAATCTCAAACCGGAGCCGACGTGTTTCCTGCAGGACATTATCTTAAGTAGTGAGTGGAGAATGAGCGCCGGGTAAAAATAGCCAGAATGTGATGAATGATCAAGAGTGTTTGGGAGTGATAGAATAGTCCGTGTAAACGCTACGGCTGTTAAACTTGAACAGGTGGAGAAAGGCTATTTTAGAGCAGACGCCGCTGACCTTTCACAGACCCGCGTGACACTCCCACGAGGAGAGCAATTGTTGAATATGAAAACACAGCCCAAACAGGATCGAATTTAGGAATGGGCTATATCAGGGGTGTCCAAACTCTGAGGGCTGATGTCCTACATATTTTAGTTCCCATTTAAACACACCTGAACCAGCTAATCAAGAGCTGCATCCCAAATGGCACACTATACACTATGCACTCATGCACTTATGCACTTACACACTCAACGGGATAGTACATGTATGTAGTGGCGTCCCAAATGGCACACTAATGTCTTTTACTAAACGGAAATTCAAACCGTTTCCCTGATGATGTTTGACGGTTGCCAAATCGGTGAAATAAGCGACCGAATTATCAAATAATACCTGCCGTGTGTATAACCGCATTCACCATCGGGAGGCGCTATAATCACTCTTTTTGCTAAATAAAGTTATCCAACATGTGCGTCCAATAGCTCCGCCCCTTCCGCTACGTAAGCAAACCTGCGGTCGTTATGTGCGTGAAGTGTCCATCATCACACACTTCCTTTTACCAACTGAATGAGTGCATCATCCGGGTAATTAAAGTGCACTTATTATTATTAGAGTTTTCAGTGTGAACGCACTACTTACACTATTTATACTACAAAATGGCGTAGAATAGTGCATAAGTATGCAATTTGGGACGCTGCTAAGCTCTTACTAGATGTACTAGAAACTTCCAGGCAGGTGTGTTGAAGCAAGTCGGTGCTAAACTATGCAGGATACTGGCCCTCCATGATCGAGTTTGGACATCCCTGGGCTATATGCACAGCTAGTGATTTTTCCTCTAGTGATCAACATCCGGTGAAAGGTTAATGTGACTATTTTTAATTTCATACAGTTCCTTTTACAGCATCAATGTTGTAATGTAATTAAAAAACAATCAGTTAAATAGACTTTAGCATTCATTTAGTTGTGAAAGCGTAAAACGAGATGAAAAATGTTACATAAATGATAATTCTCTACATCAATATAAACACCACTGCCTCCATGCCTCATCTCGGGGGACTTTTTTCAGTTATTCATGACGATCTGCATCTGTATAATGTGATTATTATTAGCAGTATTATTTATTATATGCAGATTTATATTTGCTTTAATAAAAAGAAGTATTTGTTCACCTGTGGGGTTTTGGAGATGTCTGCATCACCATATGAGGCATAAGAACAGGACGTGTGTTTGCATATATTGTTTGAGCACACTTCATTATTATTGATCATTTACTCCTTTGCTGGATATTAGAGCTGAATTTAGAAATAGTTTTGACACAAATCTTTATGCTTACCAAACTAAATTAAATATGTAGACTAATGGATGTGTTCAGTGGGGTGAGTTTCCACCGTTTCCTCACTCCACCAAAGTAAAAGAGTAAAAAGTAAAAATAATGTAAAGAGAAAGAGGCTGAATGGAGGAGGCTCGTTCTTTATCCTCGCACTGCAGATGCTCTGATTAGCATCTGTTTAGCATCACAAGTGAATGTGAGATGAGACTCTGATTGGTTTGGGTATTGGGCTCTATTTTAACGGTGTAGGCAAAAAGTCTAAAACGCAAGGTGCAAAAGTTTTTTAGGACGTGTCCGAATCCACTTTTTGAGCAATGACTTTTGAGAATTGTAGTTTGGTTCAATGGCAGAATTGTAGATCTGCAAATGTTAGATCGATGGTGATCGTGACTCCAATGTTGGGTCAATATGGGCAAACCTAACGCTGGGTTATTTGTTTATTTTCTTTTTCAGTTAAATTAAAAGGTTTCAATTTTGGGGAGAACTATCCCTTTTTAATGTTGGGGTAAACTCTCCCTTTTCAATTTAGGGTAAACTATCCCTTTCAATATTGGGGCGAACCATCCCTTTTCAATCTTAGGGTGAACTATCTCTTTTTAATTTTGGGGTAAACTATCCCCTTTTTAATTTTGGGGTAAACTATCCCCTTTTTAATTTTGGGGTAAACTATCCCCTTTTTAATTTTGGGGTAAACTATCTCTTTTTAATTTTGGGGTAAACTATCCCCTTTTTAAGTTTGGGGTAAACTATCTCTTTTTAATTTTGGGGTAAACTATCCCCTTTTTAATTTTGGGGTAAACTATCTCTTTTTAATTTTGGGGTAAACTATCCCCTTTTTAAGTTTGGGGTAAACTATCTCTTTTTAATTTTGAGGTAAACTATCCCCTTTTTAATTTTGGGGTAAACTCTCCCTTTTTAATTTTGGGGTAAACTCTCCCTTTTTAATTTTGGGGTGAACCATCCCTTTGCAATTTTGGGGTGAACCATCCATTTGCAATTATGGGGTGAACTATCCCTTTTCGATTTTGGGGTAAACTATCCCTTTTTAATTTTGGAGTGAACTATCCCTTTCAATCTTGGGGCGAGCCATCCCTTTTCCATCTTGGGGTGAACTATCCCTTTTCAGTTTTAGGGTAAACTATCCCTTTTAATTTTGGGTTAAACTATCTCTTTTTAATTTTGAGGTAAACTATCCCCTTTTTAATTTTCGGGTGAACTATCCCTTTGCAGTTATGGGGTGAACTATCCCCTTTTTAATTTTGGGGTGAACCATCCCTTTGCAATTATGGGGTGAACTATCCCTTTTCTATTTGGGGGTGAACTGTCCCTTTGCAATATACTCAGATGTATTGCATTTCTCAAACAGCTGATTTTCGCTCACTGTTCTTGATTGTGTTCTGAGCAGTCATGTAAATTACACTTTTATTTTTGCATGAACTATCCCTTAAGTCTAACTCTTCAGTGCTCTTTTGTCATTATTCTTAGATGCATACATTTGTTTTTCCTCAAACAGTTGATTTTCCCTGATTTGTTTGTGTGTTCTGAGCCATCATGAACAGTTCCTGGAGTGTAGGAGTGTGTGATTATGTATGATGGAAACTCCCAGCATCTATTTTAGAGAGTCAACAGATCTCCAGAGCCAAACCGGAGCCAAAGTGGAGAGCAGACCACCGCTATGCCCCTCACTATGCTTTTCTGGGCTTTTGTGCCCTTTTTTATTGCCATTTCACTCTTTATTTGTGTCTTGCATGCAGGAGGAAAGAGTGGCGTCAGCAAGAAGACGGATGGTGTGAAGGTAGGAAATCAGGTATTAATTGTTTTGATTCTTAATACTCTTGATATGTGAACGTATACACTGTCTGGATGTTGATTTGCACACGGGAAGATTTCTGTAATGTTGGGTTATGCTATATTATATTGGGTTGTATTATTTGATATTATATTATGTTGTGTGTTGTATTATAGTATATAATTTTTTGTTGTCTTGTGTTATATTATTCTGTATTGTGTAAAGTGTTGTGCTATATAATATTACTTATGTTTTGTGTTGTATGACACTATATTATTTTGTGTTGTGTTATAATATATTGCAATTATGTGTGTTCTATTATATTATGTTACATTATTATTTCATTTTATATTATATTTTATATATTTTATATTTTTTATTATTATTATTTTAATTAAAGTTTTTCTTCTTCTTCTGGTTCAATATTATATTATTTATTTTATATTATATTATTATATTTTATTATATTATATTATATTTTATATTATATTATTTTATATTATATATTATAGTATATAATATATTATATTTTATATTATTTTATTTTGTTATATTATATTATAGTATATAATACTATTTTATTTTATATTCTATTTTAATATATTATTTTATTTTATATTCTATTTTATTATATTTTTATATTACATTATTTTATATCATAATATTTTATATTATTTTATTTTATATTACGCTATATTATAATATTATATTTTATTATATTATTTTATTTTATATTATATTATTAATCAGACAACAATTCGCTTCACTTGTCAACAGATCACTGTCTTTTCGAATGTTTGTGTGTCTTGGAATCATTCAGAAAGCACACACACACATTCACGCACACTCACTCTTACACATACGGACTAAAACTGCACACACACACTTTTGCTGTTTGTGTCGTATCATATGTACAGTAAGTCCTGTCCTCTACTGTATGTGACACTGGGTCTGTCTGTTGTCTCTCAGCACCATGCATCCACTATGGACTTCATTCTGTTGCGAAGGTAAACTAGCATGTCAAACTGAAGAAAAACTGTTAATTCATATTTAATCCATATACTCAATTCTAGGGCCAATGAATATTCAGTGCTTATTGGACATCTGTGAATGGAGACGGTTTTTAATACTGAACTATAATGTTATTTTGTCAATTCTGCAAACTATCATTTTACGAAGTCTTGTTTGTTTTCGGCTAGAATAAAAGCAGTTTTTCATTTTTTAAACACCATTTTAAGGTCAATATTATTAGCCCCTTAAAGCTATTTTTTTCGACTGTCTTCAGAACGAACCATCATTGTACAATGACTTGCCTAATTACCCTAACCTGCCGGGTTAACCTCATTACTGCCCTTAAATGTCACTTTAAGCTGTATAGAAGTGTCTTGAGAAATATCTAGTCAAACATTATCCACTGTTATCATGGCAAAGATAAAATAAATCAGTTATTAGAAATGAGTTATTAATTATTTTTAGAAATGTATAAACTGTATAAAAGGGGAAAAATAAACAGGGAGGCTAATAATTCTCACTTCAGCTGTGTGTGTGTGTGTGTATATATATATATATATATATATATATATATATATATATATATATATATATATATATATATATATATATATATATATATATATATATATATATATATATATATATATATATATATATATATATATATATATAGTATATAAATATATACTATATATAGTATATATATATATATATATATATATATATAGTGTATCCATGTATACATCTGAGAGCGTATGTTTACATGCGAGCAAACTTTCTGTACTTGCTGCTGACTCTAGATTGTTGTCAGCATTTCTTGGGTGTTTGTTCCTGACCTCAGCATTGCCGTTTCAGATAGCCAGCGGCCTTTTGTGAAGGTGCAGTCGGAGATCCCAGATGTGGTGTACATGAAGGAGGGAGAGCCCTTGGTCTTTCCATGCAGAGTCACTAACCCAGACGCCAAAGTCTCGTTGGTTAAGGTGAGTGACTCAACTGTGTCAGATCATTTCATCCGACCCTTCAACTTTTCTTCTTTCTATCAACTAGACCAGGGGTCACCAATCTTGGTCCTGGAGGGCCGGTGTCCCTGCTGGGTTTAGCTCCAACTTGCCTCAACACACCTGCCTGGATGTTTCAAGTATACCTAGTATGACCTTGATTAGCTT